GCGCGCGTGCTGGGGGGACACGATCCGTGTCAAATCAAACCATGTGGGCCACTGTCGAGCGTCGGCAGCGCGCGCATGTCGAACGTCTTTTAAGATTTACATCACCGATGCGGGGACGCCGTCATCGTTATCGGCGTGATCAGCATCGGCTCCGCCAGTGGCTTTGCCGTCATCATTGTTATCATCGCCACACGCATCGCTACCATCATCCTCGTGTCTACCGTTGTCGACGTTGCCATGATACCGCACCCGCCCAGGTCGCCGACTCGCACTGAAGTGCCCGCTGGGAAGTGCCCAGCGGTCAGCGCCACCGCGGCCGCGTCGATCGCGCCAAACTAGGTGGCCGCTGCGCACGCGAGCATGCTCGGGCTGGCGCGGCCGCAGAGATGCACCAGCCAAGTCCAAGTACGCTTCGCAATCGCCGCCGCATGGGCCTGTGCAAACCAAGTTGCGGGTGGGTGGGTGGGATGATTGCGCGAGCAGTGGTGTTGACAATTCAATGCGACAACTCATTGCGAACAGAAATGTATTGCACCACTTAGACGGCAAAGCATATATTGCAAGAAACCATTGTTTGGGATCCACGCTGGTGAACCGGTTCTAGTGGGGATCTAGTTTTCTTTCAAACAAAGTTCAAGGCGATCGAGGCTCTGGGCGAGAGGAGTGTTGAAGGCATGGGGATTTACCCTCCGATGCGGAGGGGCCACACAGGAACATTATTCGGTGTTGGGCGTGCCGACCAGAATCGATTCGCAGGGGAACACCCTGAGCCCCTTGAAGCAAGCTTCTGTTCAGGGGAAAACCGACATGCGATGCCCTGAGTTTTTCATCACGGGGTCCTGGGAAGCCCCGAGACTTTCCTTGGGGCCGGCGTTTCATTCCGAGCCGTTGTTTGACGGCCCCGAGGCCCAGCGAGGGCCCCCAGAGACGGAAAACGAAAGCGACGCAAGCACGTTTGGGAAGGCCACCAGGGCGATTCGACGCGAGTCGATTCGCGGACTGGGCCCGCGATTCTAATTCGATTCGATCACCGGCATGGGCTGGGGCCAGCTGGAGCCGGGCGCGGCGATTCGACCTCGATCCGACACGGGGGGATCCGTGGGCGATCCGAGCAGTCCAGGACCCATCCGATTTCGCAGATCGACTTGGCGCAGGCTTGCAGACTCGCGGCAGCCCGTGCACGCCCGTCGGCCCGGCGGTGGCAGGTGCCGCGCGCTGCCACGGTGCGCGCCGAGACGAACCTGGTAGTGGTGATCGTGCCCGCGCAGGCCCTCGAGGGCGTGCTGGTGCGCTTCCCGGGCGCGCTGGAAGGCGATGCCCGCCCCTCCCCGCCCCACGATATCTTCGCGCCTGCACCGAGACGGCACGCGCCTGCACCGACACCAAGGACCTCCTCCTCGTCGTCGTCGTCCTCCTCCTCCTCCTCCTCCTCCTCCTCCTCCTCTTCCTCCTCCTCCTCCTCCTCTTTCTCCTCCTCCTCCTCCTCTTCTTCCTCCTCCTCCTCCTCCTCCTCCTCCTCCTCCTCCTCCTCCTCCTCCTTATCCTCCTCCCCCCCTCATTTTGCTTGTGTCCCGCATTGCATGTGTCCAGACACGCCAAAATCCACAGGCCACGGCGTCATCCACCTGGCCTGAGCTAGACCAGGACGCTTGTCGCTGCGGTGGTCGCTCGTTCGTTCGTTCGCGTCGTGAAGAATCACCACGGCAGGGTATTGACTGTTCTCGGCTTCTAGGGGCCCTGACCGGGCAGAGGAATCTGAAAGAACAGTTCGGGATGAAGAGCTAGACCCCGGGAAGGGGTCCAGATTTCTGAGGGGCCAGGCTGGGGAAAAGACACGACGTCGGATGTCTGGGGCCGCCGTCATCGCACTTGCCGCGCCCCCGCGGCGTTGGCCTATCTATCGCACCTTCCGGGCCCAGCGCACGCCGCCCGCACCCACCCAACCCATCCCATTTCGCCTAGCCCTTCGCCTGCGCCGCCGCCTTCCCTCGCTGGCGGCCGCCCCGCATTCCCTGAGCCCGCCCGCTCATCGCCGCACCTTGGCCGCCCCGCATCCGCCGCCCTTGCGTCCCTGCTTTCCCCCCGCCCAGCTCACCGCCGCGCCTTCCCTTCCGCCGCCGCCTTCCCCACCCCTGGGCCCGGCCCTCCGGCTGGCGTGCGGAGGCGCCTCTTGGGGGGCATCCTGCCAGAAGGTTGTGCGCCACGAGGGGCCAGAGCCTCCCAGAGGTCGCTCGGGCTGAAGTGCACGCTCCCGGTATGAAAGCGAGGACGGGAACACAGAGCACCACAGAAAGTGCGCCCGTTTGCAGCTGGAAGCCATAGAGTCAGCCTGCTCTCCGGCTTGGCTGCTGTCCCCCAGAGGCCCCCAAGCCTCCGAACTTGACGTCGCGAGGGCGGCCGGTATGTCCAGGGACCGCCCCGCCTGTTCTTCGCAGATCTCATGTCGCGAGGGGTCCTGCAGCCATCTGGGCTCCTCGGCCGCCAGGGTGGCGGCCGCCCGAATGGGGGGGCATCGGAGGCATGGGAGGGCGATGGCTGCGCCTGGGGACCCCGTCCGCGTCGGAAGGACCCCGGGCCAGCGGACACCGAGGTCCGGCGACGGAAAAAGAAACGCAACCTCGTGGGAAAGCACGACCAGCGCTCCCGGACCCCCTCGTTCTGCAGCATTCTTCGAGCTGGGTCGATCTGTGACGATCCCGGGGCCTGACGCCAGGAGAAAACGATTGGTGTTCAGTATCGATTGACCTATCCAAATCCCCACCAGGCCATGGTATCTTAGCCCCGCCATCCCACCACCCCAGTTGGGGATCGTCCACCCGAAGCTCGAAGGGAACAGCATATATGTCCTTATCTAAGGGGGTAGACTGGCCAGTGGGGCCCAGGCCACGCCAGTGAGGATAGGGGTCGGATTAAGCACGACAAACGACATATGAGGCGATGTTCCCAGATTTTTCCTGGTGTCTGTGTCGAAGACGATCGCGTGAACTGAGCGGCCACATGCCTACGGAATGCAGTTCACAATGACGAAGCGAAGGCCAAAAGCACCATTGAGCCCCTTGTGCGACGGGGATCGGAGGAGGCGAGGAGTTGGAGTTGGAGGAGGAGGAGGAGGAGGAGGAGGAGGAGAAGGAGGAGGAGGAGCCCCTTGTGTGACGGGGATCGGGATCGGATCGCGACGCTCGGGCGTGGCCAAAGCTGCGACGCCCGGATATCCCAGCGGAGGAGCCCCGCCCGCGCCTTGGCCCGTGGGCTGCACGCCGGCCGCGCGGGACGCCGGCTGCGCGGCGCGGCTGCGCGCCGGCGCCGAGGACGAGGCGTCCTCCGGCGCTGAGGACGAGGGGTCCTCCGACTCGTGCGGTGCTCGGGGGGCATCGGCAGGGAGACAGGACAGGCTCGGGCGGGACGCTGGAGGTGCCAGCTTTTCGGCCGGCTGCGTCGGTTCTCGGCGGCGGTTCTCCAGCCTCGGCAGGCTCTCCAGCGGCTGCGCCGCGCCGAGGGGGTTCCGGGGGCGCCCGGATCGTCCCGAGCGGCCGCCAGAGGCCCGAGCCATGCCCCGGAAGCCAGCAGGGGGTGGGCCCAGGGGGCGAGCGCACTGGGCCCCAATCACCCAGGCATCGCCATCGCCCAGAAGGGCCCGACGGCCCATCCCGCCCAGGAATGCGCGGTTTCGCCATCGGGGGCCCGTCGCCGCTCCATGGGCGATGCATCACCGATTCCGGGTCGATGTTTCCCCCCCTGAGCTGGCGGCCACCCTGGCCGCAACAGGTCTGTAATAAGCCACTACCCTCAAGAATGGGCACACTTTCTTGATGGCTAAGTGGGGGCTGCCGACACCTGACAGTACTCGGCACATCAAGATTCCGCCGCCGCCGTCGCGGAGGGAGAGGAGAAGGGGAGGAGGAGGAGAAGGAGGAGGAGGAGAAGGACAGGGCGAAGCGGAGGACGCGCAGCTTCCTTGCTGCAGGCCAGGAGCTCTGGGGGGACCAGCAGGGCCAAAGACCTCCAGCGGTTGCCGCTGCCCCGCAGGTGCCCCCCGCAGCGCCGGCGGGCCCTGCCGCCGAGGGGGCGGCGGCGTGCGGCGCGCCGCGGCGTGCGCAGCGGCGGCGCTGGTGGCCGCGCTCGCGGCGCTGTGCTGCCCCGCGCGCGCGTGGCTGCTGGTGTCGGGCGGAGGGCGCGTGCGGTGGCGGCAGGGCCGCGGGGCGGCCGTGCTCCTCGAGCAGGGTGGCCAGCATCGGAGGAGGAAGGCACCGGCACGGGCGCAGGCCTCTGCGAGCGTCTCGGAAGCAGCTCCTTCGGCGGCAGGGCGTTTGGCCTGGTCCATCTCCGACATCTTCACGTCGAGCGACACGCATCGCGACGACGGCAGCAACGCCCACGATGGCAACGAAGAAGACGGCGTCAGTGGTGATAGCATCGTGTACGTTGGCGATGGCTGGTGTCGCCCTGCAAACTGCAGTTGGGAAGACCTGGGCTGTCGTGTCAACGGTTATTTCAGTGACGGCATCTCAGGAAATGATTGCATGGACATGTGTAGATCGCTTGCAGATTGCTTTGGGTTTTCGTTCTCGTCATCGATGTTCGCTGCTTTCCCGAGGCGGTGTTACGTTTATGTGAGCCCCTCCGCAGCCCCGATCGAGGGTTGGGAGGCATACCGCCAGAGCCACTACGACATCGGAACGTCTGTTGCACTCGACGGCGTCGGCTGCTACCGAAGGGAGGCGCCACAGCCGACCGACGCGGCCTCGCCACCGACGGCGGCACCAACCGAAGCCCCAGCCCCAGCGGACGAGCCAACCGCAGCCCCAGCCCCAGCGGACGAGCCAACCGAAGCCCCAGCCCCGGCGGACGAGCCAACCGAAGCCCCAGCCCCGGCGGACGAGCCAGCCGAAGCCCCAGCCCCGGCGGACGAGCCAATCGAAGCCCCAGCCCCGGCGGACGAGCCCCAGGAGCCCGCGCCCCCACCGCCGGCGGAGGCGCCCGAGGGCCGCTGCCCGCCGCAGATGGCCGAGCTGCGAGCGCCCGGCGTGTGCCCCGAGGGGCCGCCGGGCGCCTTCGAGGTCACCGCCGTGGGCCTGCGCACGCGGTCGTGGGACGCGGACGAGCAGCTGCTGGCCGACCTGGGGCGCTACATACGCCACATGAGGAACCAGAGCGAGTGGCCAGAGGAGCCCTGGGCTCGTGTCGGGCGAGGGCGGCGAGGTGTTCGGGCGTGCTCGTCGGTCCTCGGCGGCTTTTTGTTCGGCCTCGGCGGGCGCTCCAGCAGCTGCGCCTCGCCGAGGGCGTTCCAAAGGTGGCCGGCTCGTCCCGAACGTCCGCTGGAGGCCCGGGTCATGACTCGAAAGTCGCCGGGCGGTTGGCCCAAGCAGGAATTGGCGCGGAGCTTCGAGTCTGCCCACGCCTGCCTCGAGAAGCTGGCGCACGTGGACGCGAAGGACGTCCTGGCGCTCCAGGAAACGTGGACGGAGGCCGACACCGACGTCCTGCGGAGGCTGGACCCCTATGCCGATGGCTTCGTGGAGGGCGAGCTGGATACGGAGGCGTTCCGGCAGCGCCTGCCCAGTGCTGGTCAGTTCGCCGATATTGTCCAGGAACGCGCCTTTGCAATGGTCGGCGCCTCCGACAGCCTCCTCGAAAAGAGGCCTGGCCCTGAGATCGACGCACACGAGGTCGTGGTACGCTTCAACGACCATGTAAAAGATAACTTAGACGAAGCCGTGACAGGCACCAAGACCACCATGCACGTCACTTGCGACGCTTCTGGACCGATGGGCGACGATGGCGTCACGGAGTTTGACTTGGAGACACGGGCACCATGGAGCTCGTATTGCAACAAGATGAATATCAACGGCGTATTCTACCATCCGAACATCACCTACTACATTATGAGGCCCACCGCATTGTGCGCGATGGACTCTGAGTTCAGCTTCTTCACGAGGGGCTTCATGTTCTACTGGCTAGTCGGACGCTTATTTGACCAGCCCGACATGTATGGTTTTGATGGGGACGCCCACTACGACAACAACCAAGTGGTCTGGGAGTCGTTCTTGCACTTCGAGCACGCGGTTTACCGCCTGGTTCGTGGAGAGTTGGAAATCCCAGCGGATGTGGAGCCATTGGATGCAACGTGACGTCGCGTCCCAGTGGCACGGCCTTCATGGTAATATCATTTGTTTGGGAACGCTGCACGGTGCCGGAGGCGGCAGACCAGCAGTACACTCGCAAAGCCATTTTGGCATCTCGCGTGTTTCTGTCGGGATGCCTGATGATCTCTCCCCCTGACTCCTGCTCATTCCACGCCGCTCCTCCATCCTCCCGCTTTCACTGCCCCGCCTAGAACGACGAGCCCGAGGCGTGCAAGCCGCCTGGGCAGCCGTCAAGTAGCTAGTCCCCGGAGTCCCCGGCCGCCGTAGAGTAGGCAGTCCAATACTAGCGGGCGCCGCGGCCACCACTCCCGACGGAAAGCGGGTGGGCCAGCCTCGCCAGGCCGCCCGCGGCGCCAGACCGCGGCGAGAACGCCCCACGAGCAGAGCAGAACACTGGCACGCTCGCGCCGCAGGGGCGCCCCCCCCCCGCCTGTGGCCGCGACCGCCCCTCCTCCTCCTCCTCCTCCTCCTCCTCCTCCTCCTCCTCCTCCTCCTCCTCCTCCTCCTCCCTCCCTCCTCCTCCCCCTCCTCCTCCTCCTCCTCCTCCTCCTCCTCCTCCTCCTCCTCCTCCTCCTCCTCCTCCTCCTCCTCCTCCTCCTCCTCCTCCTCCTCCTCCTCCTCCTCCTCCTCCTCCTCCTCCTCCTCCTCCTCCTCCTCCTCCTCCTCCCTCCTCCTCCTCCTCCTCCTCCTCCTCCTCCTCCTAGCCGTTCTGGCCCAGGTTTCCTGGGCTTGCAGTCACTGATCTTCAGAACGGCTGTGTGACTGCGAGCCATTTTGGCCACGGTCATTTCTAAGACAATTTCGCTCCACACTTCCCTCGCGCCATGCACCGCGGCCGCGGCGGAGGGGCCGCGCCGAGGTACGGACCGCCAGCTCGTGGAGGGCGGTGGCCTGCGGCGCCGTGGCGCGAGGCCGCGCAGTCCCGCTGGGAGGCGGCGGCCGCCTATGGCGGCGACGGGCGCAGCAGGGGAGGCCCCCCGCCGCGCCCGCAGTCCCGCCCCCGATGGTGGACGTGCGGCCTGTGCGGATGCAAGAAGAACGATGACAGACTCACTCATTGCAAGCATTGCAAAGCCGATCGGGCCGAAGGAGAAGAAGCAGCAGCACTGGGCGCTCTTCGTGATGACGATGATGCTGCCCCTCGGCTTCCTCCTCGGCGCCCAGCTGCTGGACGTGGAGGTGCTCGCCAGGTCGTGGATCTCGGCGATGCTCCTTCAGCTCCTGGTAGTGCTCACTCTCGTGACAACAGCAGAGTTCGCTTCCAGGGAGATGCAGGAGTTGGAGCAGCTCATTTCACTCTCGGAGAAGGCGGGCGACCAGGCCGCAGTCGAGAAGTACAAGCAGCAGCTGGCAGATCATGAGCAAGTTCAGGCGCCTACCCCAGTGCAGCAGAGGGCCTCCACGGCTCACTCGCGGGCGGCGGCCTTGGGAGATCGGCTACAGCAGGAGACGGATAAGCTCGAGGAGTTGCTGGGCATGATCTCGGGGCAAAAGGCTAGAGTCACCGAAGTGCAGCAAGAACTCGACAAGGCGGACAAAGATTACCGTGATATTGTTGCTGAGTTGGCGGGCGGCATTGTGCAACCGAAAGCTCACACCACCACCAAGATATGCCTCTCGCGACTGGTCAACAGCGAGATCAAGCCTGAGGAGCTTTTCGACACAGCCGCTTTCTTTGACGTGCACGAGTACGAGGCTACGGACGACGATAAGGCAGAGTTTGGTCGGCGCATGGGTACTATGCAGGAGGCTCTTCAGAAGTGTGCAGAAGAGTTATTATCTGGGGCACTTGCTACTGTCGAGAACATCAAGAAGGAACACGCCGACCACATTAGCAGGATGGGCAAGAAGCGGAAGACTGGCGAGGATTGCGGATCCAGCGCAGGCAGGACTTCATCGGCTCCCCCTCCGCGCTCCCAGGCTCCAGCTACAGGACCTCCAGCGGCAGGGGCGGCACAGGCGAATCACAATCATGTTGTGCCTCATTGTAGCGTATTGGACGATGCAGCCGCTGAAGCCGATGCTGAAGCTTTCCTCAACGGTAGCCAGCCTGCCTCGGAAGGCGGAGGTGGAGCCTCTGCCGCCAGGAAGGCCACCGACGTGCGCTCCCGAGCCAGGGAGCTGGTGGAAGCTGACACGGCGTCAGCTGCAGACAAGCGCACGAATTCTGAGCCCCCGCCAAGGTAGCTATCTTGGCACTGAAGGGGGGCGCACACAACAGATATGGTAGGATAATCTCGGGTATCCCAGGTGACCGCCTGATCCAGGTTTCCAGGCTCAGGCTGCGTTGTTCCCTGGGGTCCCACAGTTTTGGTTTCTTCCGAATCCCCCCCCCTCTTGGGCTCTGGGCGAGAGGCCTAAGCACACAGGGGGGGGGGGGGGGTCGAGTCAATTCAATCTGTCGTAGCTCAGGGGTTCCAGAGCTCTCGACCTCTTCCAGCGAGGGGTGGGCCGAGGGGAAAGGTTCGGGCCCAGGCCAGGCCGTAAGCGATCCCATCCGTGCCCCTCCATCACCACCTCGCGACAAGTTCTCCCTGATCATCGAAACGTGTAACTGTGCGAGTTGGCGTCCCATCGAGGAGTGGCTGAAAATTACACAAGCTCACATCATTGCCGTGCAAGAGCACCACTTGCGCGGGGACAGCATTAACGAGGCCAGCAGCTGGCTTGTTGGGCATCAGTGGAAAGGAATATTTGCAGCTGCTACCCCTGGACCAGGAGGTGGCACGCGGGGCGGAGTCGCTGTGCTGGCGCGTTCTTGGCTAGGATTGCACCATGCTGTCGGCACAGGCGAGAGTGCAGGTGTTCTGGTCCCAGGCCGAGCGGCACTGGCTACAGTCCACCTCCCCAGCCCCACTCCTATCAACATCGCCTCGCTCTACCTCCACGACGGTGAAGGACTGTCTGAGTAAGGTCGGGGGAGCCGCTGGGACTTTGGGGCACGAGACGATTGTTGGTGCCGATTTTAACCTTCCCCCCGAACTGCCGATGGAAAGCGGTTTCCCCGAAAAGCTCGGTGAGCTTGTCAAAGCCGACTGCGAGGCCACCTGCTACACTGGGCAAGGAGGCAAGTCGTTTATTGACTATTTTGTGGTCTCGCCAGGAGTGGGTAAAGTTGTCAAGTCTATAGAGCGAGTTACCACCACCATCCTCAAAACCCACGCGCCTGTTCAGATGACCCTTTTCCCGCGCGCGTGCGATCTGCAAGCCTTGCAGTTCCGACGCCACCCTAGGATTCCGACCGTTAGGCCTATCGGCCCCCCGACCGCCCCCCACCCCCCCCCCCCCCCCTGCCAGGGACTCGGTTGCGGATTTCGGTCACCACGTGCTGGACGCGGCCTCGACATCTTGTATAAGGCGACCCGCGGCCTTGACACCTTGTATAAAAAGTTCGCCAACAGGGCTGAAATTGAACTTTCGAAGGTTGGACAAGTTGACTTCAATTATTATGGAAGTCGTGGCAAGCCTCCTGAGCTCCAATGGGCCCCCGTGTTTAATGCCAAGACGGACCCCCTTAGGTACCCAGAAATGGCAGCCATGAAGTGGCTGGACAACCGAGTCAGGCAGGTGTTCGGTCTTTTTCAGGCGTGCAAGGAGCAGTCCTCTGTGCGCGGCGAGTGGACGCCGCCGCCGAAGTTTGTGCTCGACGGCACCGGTGCCTACAAGCGCACGCTTGATGAAGCATCTGCGCTCGCCTCAGCGGCTCGTTCACCCGGAGGTTTGGACAGCACCGAGGTGTCTCTTTTTCTGGCTAAGGTGGAGAAGGAGTATGAGGAGGTGAAGGCCAGGACCCAGGAGGATGCCAGGACGGGATGGACAAATTGGCTCTTGTCCAATATCGACAAAGGTGGCAGGAATGCGCACCTTGCCAGGAAGCCAGCGCCAGGGTGGAAGCCCACCACCACTTTAAGCGCTGGAGGCCTTGTTATTTCCGACCCGTTGGCCCTTCTGCGCATGGAATCCGAGCGATTCAGCGGGTTGTGGAAAGCCACTGCCACCCCCCAGACCGTGGTTTCCAAGGGGTGCAAGAAGCCCTCCCGCGGCTGGAGCCAGCCTTCATAAGAGGAGTCTCGTCCAGGTACCCTGTTCGCTCGGCCCAGAGCGTGGGTGGGTTTCACATGAAGCATTACAGTTGGCTCACTGATGATGCCCTCTCAGAGGTGTCCCTCCTGTTTTCCCTGGTTGAAATCCTGTCCACGTTGCCTTCGCAAATACGTGTGGTCCAGGTGGCCCTCCTGATGAAGCCTACGGGAGGTGGCGTCCGATCGAGTTGTTTGTTTCCTTTTTCAGGCTTTGGGGACGTTGCAGGAGGGTCTACGCCCAACAATGGGAAATGTCACACATGAGACCTTTCTTCGCAGGATCTAAGTTTGCGGCCGCCTGCGACGTCGTATGGCGCCAGGCCCTGCGATCTGAAGTAGGTACCTCCAGAGGAGACGCATCTGCGACGCGATTCTGGGATATGACGAAATTCTGCGAGACATTCCAGTTAGATCGGCTCCTGGACCAGTGCAAGGTTTTCGGGTTCCCCATGGCCATCGCCCAGCTGTGCATCAACACATATCGCAGCGCTCGGTACCTGTGCATCTCGTCCATGGTTTCTGGACCTCACTACACTCTACTAGGAGTCATTGCAGGATGTAGTTTCGCGACCACCTTCGTCAGGATCTACATGCTAGGCCCATACGATAAGCTGATCTCCAGACTCCCAGCCCCAGTGAACTTTGACCAGTACATTGACGACGCTGGGCTAAACAGCGCAGGTAAAGCGAAGGAGGTCGTTAGGAATATCAATAAGGAGTCCTCGGCTGCCCTCTACCAAATGTTCGTCACGGAATTAGGCTGCGAAGTTTCTAGAGACAAAGCCAATTTCGTCTGCTCCGACAAGCATGTGGCTCACGAGCTCAGGGAATTGTTCAGGAGAGTTTGGTGGCCCAGTTGTTGAGAGTGCCACTAATTTGGGGATCGACGACACGGTGGGGAGG